GAGAGAGAGAGAGAGCGGAATCTTGAATGCACATATCTTCGATGCTGCTATCATTTATACCATGTTCCCTAGGATGATACTGTGGCTATTGCCCCTAGAAAAAGGAATCCACCATCCAATGTTTGTTACCAAACACTTTTGAGCATCGACATACTGGTTGGAATGAACATTGCTTGTTGGATTTGCTCCTGATCTTTCATTTGGCCTAGTTTTTTCACTCATGCGGCATGTTGGCATGTTGAACTGGCCGAGTATTGGTGATTTTTTTTGGAATTAGCTGACTATTTAATGAATTCTTCACCGTATGGCTCAAATAACATACATGAAAGATATTTCACTTTATTTGTCTGCTAGAGAGCTTCCTTTGTAATCTTTGTGCCCATCAAGTATTCTTCCTGAGTGCCATTCTATGGACTATGGTTAATCTACTGGAGCCGCTATTTGACCTCTTTGATAAATCTGAACAAATCAATAAGTGAAATATGGTGCTCCAACATAGTTAATCAGTTAGTATGGCCGTCAATCAATCTAATCAAACCGTCAGTAATTCACTCGACGGCAACAGTTATTCAGTCAGCCGGAAGGGAACCATGATATAATGCGGAAGAAGCGGGTAGTGAGTGGGTGGTCCAAGTGAAAGAATGGATTGTGTTGGCCGTTCGACCGTATCTGATATTCTGTTCGACCAAAGATCCGACTATTTTAGTATTCAGGGGTCTTTACTTGATTACTGGCCATTCTAAAATGGTGCTCCAGATCTTCACTATTTGCTTTACATAACCATCAGTGAAAGGCAAACAGACCAGACCTCTTTACTGAATTAGTTACTTGAGTTTATTCATGATTTGTCAGTTTGTGGATAAATATTTGGGTAGAAGCTACTTATGCAAGACCTATTTGACCATTGAGATTTATCGCTGAAGTGTTTGTTTTCTCTTTCTCTAATTGCCAAACGTTTTGATCATTAGGTAGTCTTGGTGCACTAAAGGAAATGTATACAAAGAGACTATTTACTTTTAGTACAAGGAGGTCACAATCACTTTTGTCCATCAGATTTTAAATCAAGTGCTTGTGTCATTAACTAGACTCAATGTTCAAAATTAAATTTCTCAAATTTTGTAACTCGCCCAAGCTATCCAATTTAACAATCTAATGACTGGGAGTGATTGTGACCTATTTGTAACAATGGTAATGGTCTCATAGTATATAGTCCCTGATTTAATTTCTCTGGTAGATTGGGGTAACATAGATTGGGGTAACATAAGGGACTGGCTTCGAAAGGGGCTGTTGCGGTGGGTTTTCCATTATGAGATTGTTGGTTGTGATCTCTGGAATTATTTGAATCTGAATACTGTTGCTGAAGTTTCGAATTACTTGTTTCCAATTGATCTTCATGTTCCTTGTTGACAAATTTTGTTAGTTGGTCTAGGCCTTCCAAATTAGAGCCACATTTGGCTTTCCAATCTTGTTGATTTAGATTCCTAAAGCTGGTTTCCATGCATTTGATCCATTGGGAGTTGGAGTTGATTGGATTCCTGTTGTTGAGATTTGATGAAGAAAACAAAAATTTAAAGAAATTCCAAATAAAGCACAAGCTCAAGTTTGAAGAAACCTAGGGTTTCTTCTCTAGACTCTAACTAGGACTTCAAAGCTAAAAGCTTCCTTGTTTTTGTTTCAAAATCTTGTGAATCCCCTCTTAGACCTCCACTCATATCTTCTATAACTTAATCGGGGTCCTAAGGTTTATATTACCCTTCACCAAAATAAGATTGACTAAATAATCTTAACTTAAAACAAAGTTCTTAATGACGCTTTACTCTTGACAAGAAAACTACTTTCTAAATAACTCCTAAAATCCTAAATATATGAAAAACCCTAGAATTCTAAAAGAAAGTAGAAATCCTAAAATTAAGTTAATGCACATCCTTTGAAATTAAACAAAAAAATAAGAATAATTTTATCCTGCATCAGAGTCTCTTGGTTGGAGAAAACGTGTCTTCGAGTTTTCAAGTGTACTAAGATGAACTCAGCATCAAAAGTACTTTCTTTAACCTTCTTCTTTCTTGGCTTAGAGATCATTTGTGGTAAGTAGAAATCTTCAAGATATGGATCTTTATATTTATATTGAGAAATCATCATAAATTTATCTATCGTTGAACCCACAATGAAAATCGTGTGTTAAACTTCAAACTCAAAACTTCTGGCCTTTAAAGGCTTTCACGACATCTATTTCATTACATTTTGAATCCAAGTCCTCAATTTGCGGTTTATGAATTTGACCACGCGTTCACTGTACTATAATTCCAATACCCTAAATCTTTTGAATGTTCCACCTCTTTGATAACCTTAAGATCTTCATCTTGAACCTTATCATAAATCGGAGCTCCTAAGAGGTCTTGTTATTCATTTGAGCATGTATCTACGTTTGGTGGCAAATTCCAGTATACAACCAGCTGATTTTGGACGCAACCAGCGTCAAAATCAAGAATGTCTATTTTCGTATTGAAAATCCTAGAGTGATGTTCTCCACGTCTAGGCCTTCTACCACTTTTCTCTCCACTTGACCCTTCACGTAGAGCACGACAATGAAAAGGGTTGTACTCGACATCTTTTTGGGCAGAAAGATCACCATCTTGCCCATGATAGATGCTGACGAGTAGTAATGTCATCAATCTGTTTGTCTCTGGCATCTTGGGATCGGTCTACCAGAGACTCTCTTCCATGATCCCTTCTTACTGCCATATGTTCACGGAAATCACAAACCCTAGGCAGAAAATCGGCAAACCCTAGCTAAAATGAGCAAGTTCTATGCTGAAATCAGTAAACCTTGTGCTGGAATCAACAAACCGTGGCCTAAATCCAGCAAACCCTAGACTTGACCGAAGATTTCCTCCCTTGCTGTTGAAAAATCATGTACTTGAAATACCAATTGATGTAGAGATTTGATGAAGAAAGCAGAAAAATAAATTCCAAGCAAAGCACATATACAAGTTTGAAGAAACTTGTGTTTTCTTCCCCAAAACCTATGTTTTCTTCCCTAGACCCTAACTAGGGCTTCAAAGCTAAAATTTCCTCTTTTTTTATTATGTCAAAATCATGTGAATCCCCCTTAGACCTCCACGTATCTCTTTTATAACTTAATTGTGGTACATGGTCCATAACACCCTTCACCAAAATACGATTGACTAAATAGTGTTAACATAAAATTCATAGTGACATTTTCACGTCTAATAAAATGAAATATTCCATAAGCACTCTTAACTACTTTTCTAAACAACTCCCAAAATCCTAAAAATATATAAAAAAAAATCCGATAATCCCTAAAAAAAAATTAAAAACTATAAAATAAAAATTAAATTAAAATACACATACTTTGAAATTAAACATAAAGTAAAAATAGGAACAAGTTTTTCTTGCATCAATTCTGTTAAGATTAAGAGAGAAAGAGAGATAAGTAAATTCAAGCACAAGATAAAGAAAGTATACACATCGTGGGGCAATGTGACCTATATATACACTGATCCTTGTGGGAGTTACCACCATTATGCATGACTGTTTCATGGCTGTTATAGCCCATTATGCAAGTCTGTTATATGGCCTTTACAATTCATTATGTTGCTATTACAGCCCATTATGCAAGACTGTTATCTGGCTATTGCAACCCATTATGCAAGGTTGTTATAGTCACTAGACCTCTCCTCAAGCTGGAGCATATATATCATAGATGCCTAGCTTGTCCAAAGTATCCTCTAGTCGAACTCGATTAGAAGCCTTAGTAAGTACGTCTACCAATAAGTTAACTTTCTCTCAAAAAAAAAGTAAGTACGTCTACCAATTGATTCTTAGATCGAACAAATGGTGTACATATTGTCTTTGAAGCGACATTTTCTCTGACGAAGTGACAATCAACTTCAATATACTTGGTTCTTTCCTGAAATAAAGGATTTGAATCAATATAAATTGTTGCTTAATTAACACAATGTAGAGGAATATGAGTTGATTCATTAACACCCATCTCTTGAATAAGAGAACGAAGCTAAATTATTTCACATGTAGCACTTTCCGTTTCTCGATACTTGGCTTCTACTGAAAATTGAGCTACAACACTCTGTTTCTTACTCTTCCAGGTGACTAAGTTATCGCCAATTATCCTAAAGTAGCCACTTGTAGATCATCGATCAAGAGAACACTCACCCCAAGGTGCCCATGACTGGTAAAAGTAGCCCTCTACTTGAGCAGATTTCAAATATCTTAAAATGTGATAAACAACCTCCAAGTGATGGGCGCATGTGCATGCATAAGTTAACTTGCCACACTTTCAACATATATAGTGTCTGAAGTGTAACAATCAAGTAAATAAGTCTACCCCACTAATCTCTTATATACACACCAGCAGAGGCTCTGACTGTTGATCATACAATTTGTGGTTAATCTCAATAGGAGATTCTGTTGGTTTGGCTCCAACCATTCTTGCTTGATTGAGAAGATCGGAAGAAAACTTTTTTTGAGAAAAAAAAATTCCTTATTTAGACTTAGCCACCTCTACTCCAAAGAAGTATTTCAATGGACCAAGATCCTGATGTAAAAAAA